TTATTTCCAGAAAGTTAATAGCAACTACAAAAATACTTGATACTTACAACTAACACATGCTCAGTTTCATTACTGTTGCCAAAAAATGCATTAAATTAAAAATTTTTCGAGTTTCCGTAAAGTTCGTTAAATCTTGCACGTTGTATTAATTCCTACACTTATTTTTAGGCAACAAGAACCTGCAGGTTTCCACCTCAACGATCCTCACCTTATGATGCAGAGGTAAAAGGCCAAACCGAACTTAGGCACCTCGGCCAACCGATACGACTGCGACTGTGACTAGAATAAAAATTAATTACTGTAAAAAATTACTTTATATATCTAAAAAAATCATTATTTTCTTACGTTTCGGACATTGATTTGGGTGTACACATACACCCTCGTCATTTCTAATTAATCCATCACGACAGAAGCAGCCCTTGACACATTGTTCAGTGCAGCCTTGATCTTTTCCCAAGTTGGCACAAGTTAGGGGACATGCAGAGCCGCATTCATAATAAACTTCGTTTTTACCGCACGTTTCTGAAGGTGCTGAGAAACCTAGTTTAGAAAATCAAAGTAACAAAAGAGAAATATTATATTATTCTAGAGGATATTAAATGAAGATATCGAAATGACGAAAAATATCGAAATGAAGATAAATATAAATTAAATTTCAGATTTCTGCTCCTTTATAGAGCTATAATACACAAAACCTAAGCTCAATTACTGATTTAAATAGCATTAAAAATGTTCACAATTATAACCTGACATTTTAACATGATGCGTTAAAGATAATTAATTTTCAGAATTCATGTAAACAAATCATCACAAAACAAAAATATCATTGAAAAAAGTAAATCTCCGACGCTAAATTCAGTGGCTGAAAAACAAATATATCTTTTAAACAGTTTGAAATACATAAATACGTTGTTCTACATTTATAGGCGCTTTCCTATAGCTTATATTTTTAATCAAAAATAAACAGAACTAAATCAAAGCAACGTAGACATTTGTTTGTGTATTTTCTTTCATTTTTCTTAAAGTTTCAGTATAGATCCAGAAAGCTGATCATATTTGTTAATAATATCTAACTGAAGTTTACCATTTACAACTGACACATATATTACATAATTACGACTGCCGGCAACAAAAATATTTTTTTTTTCGAAGAAATTTCTGTATATAAAAATAGTTTACTCGGGCTCACTACAATAAAATTTAGTTGCTACACTAAATTAATTTATGAATTTCAAATTATCAAAGGTTTCTTACGTTTTGGACACTGATTTGGGTGTACACATTCACCCTTGTCATTTCTAACTAATCCTTCTTGACAAAAACAACCCTTGACGCATAGAAAAGAGCAGACTTGATTTTTTCCTAAATTGGCACAAGTTTTGGGACATGTAGAGCCACATTCACTGTAAACTTCGTTTTTACCGCACGTTTCTGAAGGTGCTGAGAAAGCTAGTTTAGAGAATCAAAGTAGCAAAAGAGAATTATTACATTAATTTAGAGGATATCAAAAATTTCAAAATGAAGCTAAATATAATCTGAATTTCAATTTTTATCTTTTATACAGAAATATTTCCTTAAGCATAAACACAATCATAGATTTAAATAACATTCAAACGACTTAAAAAAGATCTAACACATAAAAATGTCGTATCGAACATAAATTAATTTTCTGAATTTGTGTCCATTGAAAGATACGAAAAAATGGAGTTTGTTGAAAGAGTAAATCTACAATCAATTCAATTTAGGTTTGAAAAATAAGTATATCTTTTTAAAAATAAAAATTCTTAATTTTTTCTAAGTTTTTTTAAAGTTTATGTACTTCAATAGTCCCACAATAATGTATACATTGTTACAGCACACAACGTTTAATGCTTTGGCGATTCTGCGTTTTCCTATTTGCCTGGATTCGAAAACAGGTTTTTTGACAATGGTAAATCTTTTTGTTTATTTCATATAAACCTAGAAGCAGTACTGGTATTGATTTTTATGAAAAAAAAGTTAATCACTGGCAACTGAACAACTTTTGGAGTATTTTTCGGTTATTGGTATCTTTTTTTTAAAAACAAAATATACAAAACTTACTTTATAAAAGCAAGAAAAACTATATTTGCTTTATTATTTCCTATAATATGCAATTACGTTTGAAGTAATATCCAAAAAATTTATCACAATTGTTAGTAATATCCAACAGATTTTTGGAACTTACAAATAAGTCATGGTCAATATCATTACTCTGTCCACAAGCATGTTGCAAATTCAAACGTTTTCAGTGCTCACAAAGATATAATTAACTCTTTACACTATTATAAAAATAAAATGTTACACTGAATTAATTCATAAATTTCAAATATCAAAATTTTCTTACGTTTTGGACACTGATTTGGGTCAACACATTCACCCTGATCATTTCTAACTAATCCTTTTTGACAGAAGCAACCTGTGACACATTGTGCAGTGCAGGCTTGATCTTTTCCCAAGTTGGCACAAGTTATGGGACATGCAGACCCGCATTCAGTATAAACTTCGTTTTTACTGCAAGTATCTGGTAGTATTGAGAAAATAGGTTTTAGGAATCAATTATAACAAAAGTAGAGTAATTTTTTCAAAATTATTTTAGAGGATGCTTATAATGAAAAAATAAAGCTGAAAAATTATCTATGAACCTGTAATTTTCTGCTCTTTTGTACAAAAATATTTGTTTGAACTTAATTACAGTCTCAGATTTAAATAAAACTGAAAATATTTTTCATTTGTTTAAAAACAGTGATAAATTAAATGGAATTTTTGATTTCAAAATGAATTTTTTAGTTTTTTTCTCTTGTTTTAGTACATCAAATTTACATATCGTGGGGACGAAAACTTGTGTATTATTTCGTTGCGCTATTGAAAAAAAAATTGCAAAACATTTTCTCCTTTTTATTCTTGTACGTTTTATTGACCATTGAGAATATTGCAATGTCAAATATCACAATTAACTTATATATAAATATATAATCTTGCTTATTGAGAAACCTTTTAAGACACTTTTTAATTCAAATTTTTTTTTAAATTTAATTTTTGATCTTTCATGCCTCTCTTACACTTAAAATGAACATTTGAAGTCAATTTGCTGTAAACTATGCCTAACAGAATTTAGGGCCTCACATTATACATTTTTTATTTGATTTTCTTTAATGGTAGGATTGCAGAGAGATACTTCCACACATTAAGATTTTACCTACTAATATTAAATATAAAGCAAACAAAGAATGAATTCGATTTTTTTCTAGTTTTCATAAAATAGTAATTTTGTCAGGGCCAGTGGACAACAACCACCTTTTGGTTTTACCAACTCGTAATCTTTCTTACACTTATTCATGGTCAATGGTATGCTCCAGTGTTTTCCGAGTTTGCATAAAGATAGTTAAATCTTGCACACTTTACTAATTCCTACACTTATTTTTAGGCAACAAGGACCAGAAGGTTTCCAACTCAACGATCTTCATCTAATGATGAAGAGGTAAAAGGCTAAACCGATTAAGGCACCCCGACCAACCGATACGACTGTGACTAGAATAAAAATTTGTTACTGTAAAAAATCACTTTACATATTTCAAACAATCAATATTTTCTTACGTTTTGGACATTGATTTGGTTGTACACATACACCCTCGTCATTTCTAATTAATCCTTCACGACAGAAACAACCCTTGACACATTGTGAAGTGCAGACCTCATTATTTCCTAAGTTGGCACAAGTTTGGGGACAAGTAGAGCCGCATTCAGAATAAACTTCGTTTTTACCGCAGGTATCTGAAGGTGATGTGAAGACAAGTTTAAAGTATCAATATAACAAAAAAAATAATATATTACTTTAGAAAATATTAAAAATTGCAAAATGACTATAAATATAAATTAAATTTCTGTTTTCTGCACTTTTGTAAGGATATAGTATACTGAACCAAAACACTATCACAGATTTAAATAACATCGAAAATGTTCACAACTAAAAACAGACATTTAAACACGGTGCATTAAATATAAATTAGTTTTTTGAATTCACGTACGCAGATCTACAGAAAAAATCATCTTTTTTTCAAGAAATTTTGCATATAAAGAAAGTTTACTTCCACACTACAATTAAAATTAGTAACTACACTAAATTAATTTATGGATTTCAATTTATCAAAGGTTTCTTACGTTTTGCACACTGATTTGGGTGTACACATTGACCGTAGTCATTTCTAACTAATCCTTCTTGACAGAAACAACCTTCGACACACTGTGCAGTGCAGGCTTGATCTTTTCCTAAGTTGGCACAAGTTAGGGGACATGCAGAGCCGCATTTAGTATAAACTTCGTGTTTACCACAAGTCTTTGATGGTGCTGAAAAAACAAGTTTAGAGAAATAATATAACAAAAAAAGAAATAGTATATTACTTAAGAGAATATTAAAAACGGCAAAATATAATATAAATTTTGATATTCTGCTTTTTTATGCCGAAATATTTTCCTAAGCCTAAACACACTTACAGATTTAAATAGCATTCAAAGGATATCAAAATTAAACTTTCAACCATAGCGAATCAAACATACATTAATTTTCTGAATTAGTTGCCATTGAAAGTTACAAACTAAAATGTTTGTTGAAAAAGTAAATCTCAGACATTCAATTTAATGGTTGAAAATTAAACAAATGTTTTAAACTATTTGAAAATTTTAAATATGTAGTTCAATATTTATAGTTATTTTCCGATTGCTTAGTTTTTCGTGAAAAATATACAGAATTTTCAAATTAAAAACAAATGTATTCAGAATTGATTAAGTGTTTTTTTTATGTTACGTTTCTTATTATGTTATGTTTTTTATTAAGTTACGTTTTTATTATGTTACATTTTTTATTATTACTATTTTTATTTGTTTTATGTTTACTATTTCTTATGTGTGTTTTTTTTAAAGTTTCAGTTTAGTTCCAGAATGTTTATCACAATTTTTAATAATGTCTTACAAATGTTTGTCTTACAACTGACACACATATTATTTCATCTTCTGCGCCGTTTGCAAAGAAACGAATTACATCTTTTTCCAATATTACATAGAAACTAACTACAACACAAATAAGATTATCTCATAATGTTTGAGTACACAATGATAATTAACTCGCAAACTACAGTAATAATAAGATTCAACAATAAATTTTAAATTTCAAAACTTTAAAACTGTCTTACGTTTTGGACATTTTTTTGGCTGTACACATTCGCCCTTGTCATTTCTAACCAATCCTTCTTCACAAAAACAACCCTTGACGCATTGGAAAGTACAAACTTGATCTTTTCCTAAGTTGGCACAAGTTTTTGGACATGCGGAGCCGCAATAATCATAAACTTCATGTTTACCACAAGATGGTGCTGAGAAAATAAGTTTAGAGAATCAGTGTAACATTACAGAACTAATATATTATTTTAGAGGATATCAAAAACGGCAAAATGAAGCTAAATGCAATCTAAATTTAGATTTTCTGCTTTTTCATGCAGAAATATTCTCCAAACTATAAGCACAACCACAGATTTAAATAACATGAAAAGAATTTTAAGATATAATATTTAAAAATGGCGTATCAAATAGAAATTAATTTTCTGAATTAAATTCTATTGAAAGTTACAAATTAAGGTGTTTGCTGAAAGAGTAAACTCACTGTCAATTTAATTTAATTTAATGTAGGAACACTAAACATATCCCTTTTGAAATAAAAATTTATAAATATGCTTTAAATTCTTAAAGTTTATATACTCCAACAGTCCTACAATAATGCACATATCAACATTGTCTCACAGACACACGCACGTTTAGTGTGGTGTCGATTCTGCTTTTTCCCACTTGTCTGGATTCGGAAACAGTTATTTTTTTTACTACTATTAATCTAATGTGATGTAATGTTATAATCATTTCATATGAACCTGGACGCGGTACTGGTATTTATTTTCAGCAAAAAAAGTTAACCACTGACAACAAAACTACTTTGAGTTATTACTATTTTTTTTTTTTTGGTTATCGTATCTTTTTTTTCAACGAACTATGCAAAACTTGAAACAAAAAAAAAACTGTTTTCTTATTTTCTTTATTTTATATATTTATTTTTTAAAGTTTGAAGATATAACCATAAAGTTCATCATAATTGTAGAAGTATATCCAACAGATTGCTTATATCATTTCTGTCTCAATATGCGTGAAACAAATTCAACCATTTCCCGTGCTTAAACAGAGATAGTTTACTCTTACACTAATATAAAAATAAGTTGCTACACTAAATTAATTTATAAATTTATAAAATGGAAAATATTCTTCATTTTGCGCATTGATTAAGGTTTACAAATTCACCGTTCTCATTTCTAATTAATCCTGTCTCCTATAATACAAGACTGCATTAATTTATGAAAAGATGGAAATATTTGAGTTAGCGGGAATAATATTATTTCCTTTTAAGCATTTTTTTTATTTCCAATGAGCTGCACAATCGGTCTTGCCGATGAGCAGACCTAGTGCGTTCTCCAGAGGTGGTATTCACTCTTTCAGGACCACCACAATGGGTGAGATACCGTTGGTCATGTTAATTTGGACGTCTAGTTTCTGCCACACTAGATGGCAGCACCATTTAGTTTAAAACATTTCATGCAGCATAAAAACGTCGTTTGGAATGTAACCGATAGTATTAATACCATCACAACTTCATAGCGTACTGATAAGGATAATTACTTTTTAATGGTTCACACTTATCGCAGCAACCACACTCAGTCTTTACTAGCTTGTAATTATCAGCGCAGAAAATTTTTGGACATGGTCTTCCTTTGCAATCAATGGTTTGGCACATTTCTGAACCTCTGTTTTCTATGTAAATAAATTTAGACATATTATGAAAGTTAAATTATAATACATATTCAACATACATTTTACATGTTAAAGTTAATGTTTAATTAAATGAGATATTAGATCAAGCACATTTAAACCTGAATGATAATGTATAACTGTACAAAGTTCCTACAATTCGTTTAATTTTTTCGTAAAGGGATAGCAATTAATATACATCATTTAACACAAATACTGCACAAATACAAAGTAAAATATTTCTGATTAAATTACGGTAAATGTATTTTATACCATAATTTTGGTATACCACTTTATTTGTTCCATAAAATTTTGTGGTAAAAATGAGATATTACGGTCAGAAGTAAAGTCAACTTAAATACCGTTATTTTGTCCTGAATAATCCATGGTTGCGAAGTTTTCAGTACAAAAGCGTTTTAAGTGCAGTGTTTTAGGGTGGTTAATCTAAGTTTCATTTTTCTGCTTTTTTATGGAAATTTTCTCCTTAGCCAAAACACAACCACAGATTTAAATCACATTAAAATGATTTCAGCTATAATGAAATACTTAATCATAGCATATCAAATATAAATTAATTATGTGAACTGTTGTCCATTTAAAGTTGCAAAAAACGATGTTTGTTGAAAAAATAAACCTACAGACAATTCATTTTAATTCAATATTTGGAAATTAAACTTATCTTTCTAAAAGTAAAAATTCATAAATATCCGCTAAGGTTTTTAAAGTTTATGCACAAAAATATTGCTACACCAAGGTACATATTGACATAGCCTAAGACACAAATATATTTCGACCGGATTGCCCGGATGCGAAAGCAATTTTTTCACTATGGTTAATCTTTTTGTTTATTTCATATGAGCCTGGAAGCAGTAGGGGTATTGATTTTTACCAAATAAAATAAATCACTGGAAAAAGAACTACTTTTATAGTTTCTGTCTGATACTTTACCTTTATTTTCTAAAAACAAAATATATACAAAACACTCTTAGTTAAAAGAAAGAAGCTACATCTGTTTTTTGTTCATTATCTATCTATATATATATATATATATATATNGATTTTTGGAACTTACAAATAAGTCATGGTCAATATCATTACTCTGTCCACAAGCATGTTGCAAATTCAAACGTTTTCAGTGCTCACAAAGATATAATTAACTCTTTACACTATTATAAAAATAAAATGTTACACTGAATTAATTCATAAATTTCAAATATCAAAATTTTCTTACGTTTTGGACACTGATTTGGGTCAACACATTCACCCTGATCATTTCTAACTAATCCTTTTTGACAGAAGCAACCTGTGACACATTGTGCAGTGCAGGCTTGATCTTTTCCCAAGTTGGCACAAGTTATGGGACATGCAGACCCGCATTCAGTATAAACTTCGTTTTTACTGCAAGTATCTGGTAGTATTGAGAAAATAGGTTTTAAGAATCAATTGTAACAAAAGAAGAGTAATTATTTTAGGGTTATTTTAGAAGATGTTTATGATGACAAAATGAAGCTAAAAAATTATTTATTGGGTGCACAAATTAGTTCGGTCCGTTTTTAAAAAATGGCTCTGCTGTTATGAATGTTATATAGTGACAGCTGGTTTCAGAGAGGTTAAACATCTGTCAATAATATTCAGTTTATATCGCTTTGAGATTCATACAAAAACCTTGTTTTTTACTTTGTTGAATATGTCAAATTTTGTGGTAATGAAGCCCCATTTGTTTCTGCTTTAATTGGAAGAAAAGTGCAGCTGAAGCGCATCGAATGCTTCATGAAGTTTATGTTGACAATTCTCCAACTGATAAATCATGTAGGAAATGGTTTCAACGTTTCAAGAATGGTTAATGGGGAATAAAGAATGGTAAGTGGTGAATAGTTTTGTATACTATGAGCTGCTACAAACTGGTGATTCCATTACGGGCGATTGGTATAGGCTACAATTGAATCATTTGAGCAGTGCATTACGAGAAAAAAGGTTGGAATACGAGCAAAGACATGACAAAGTTATTCTTCTGTATAATAACGGTCAGCCTGATGTCTCAAAAGTCGTAAAAACTATTTGGAAACGCTCAAGTGGGATATTTCACCGCTCCTGCTGTATTCTCTGGACATTGCTCCTTCTGATTACTGGTTGTTCCGACGGATGCAGCATGATTTTGCAGGTCAGCAGTTCCCTTCTTTCGCATAAATCACTAACTTGGATCGCCTCAAAAGACGAGACATTTTTTCGAGGTGGAATTCGAAAAATGCCTGAGAGGTGGGAAAAAGTAGTAGCTAGCGATAGACAATACTTTGATTAATCTGTTCATTCATTTTGTTCTGAAATAAAGGCATTTTTGACCACAAAAAAACGAACCGAACTAATTTGTATTCCCAATATGAAACTGTAATGTTCTGCTCCTTCATGCAGAAATATTTGCTTGAACTTATTTACAATCTCAGATTTAAATTGAACTGAAAATATTTTAAATTTGTTTCAAAACAGTGATAAATTAAACAGTTTTTTTTTAGTACATCAATTTTACATATTGCGGGGAAGAAAACTTGAGCATTATTTCGTTGCGCTGCTGAGGAAATGGCAAAAAAAAATTTCCCTTTTATTCTTGAACGTTTTAGTGACTATTGAGAATATTGCAATGTCAAATATTACAATTAACTGTTATATACATATATATTCTTGTTCTTAGAGAGAGATTTTAAGACTGATTTTTATTTTTAAAATTTTTTTAAAATTTATTTTTATATCTGACATGCCTCTCTTACACTAAAATTGCACATGTAAAATCATTTTGCTATACAACTATGTCTAACAGAGTTTATTACATCACACATTATAATTTTTTTATTTAATTTGCTTGGATGGTAGTATTGCAGAGAGGTTATTGCTCATTCTAGTATTTTCCCTACCAGTATTAAATATAAAGAAAACAAAGAATATTTTTTTTTTTTGCAATTTTCATGAAATAGTAAATTGTTTTGTGGTAAAATTGGATTTTACGGTAAAAAGTAAAGACGCCATAAGTACTAGTATTTTATCTTTCACAATCAACGGCTGTGACCTTTTTTTGCACTTACCGGTTTGAGTGCGGTGGTTAAGGAATGGAGTTTTCACCTCCCATTGAGGAGACCCAGGTTTAGTTCAATGTTGTTGCAGATTGATATGAACTCTGCTTCAGATATACTTAAAAATATATCGGTAGTTTACGGATCACGGGTTAAAATCACTGAGTCGTAAGACTAGCCATGGGTGGTTTTCTCGGTTATCCTCTTTACGTAATGCAAATTCGGGTTAGTTCAACTCAAAAAAATTTCCACGAAATCGAGTTTGTTCCAGTATTTCCCTTGTCTTCTAGGTTATACTCAATATTACAAGGCTTTGGACTAGAGTACGGATAATTGTAAACTCAGATTTGGGTGAGCTGTTCTACTCTCATTATATAATTATGCATTTAATAGAAAAGAATTGGTTTATAATAAATTAGCATTGAGATTTTTTCGAAAAAAATTCATTTTCTTTTTCGCAAAAAATTCAACATACCAAGTTTTTGAGATAGGAATTCAAATTGACATTAGAAGGATATATAATGATAACGGGAAAAATATTTTTTGACCTAACAAGGCTTTTTGAGTCATCGAAGCTCAAGGTATCGAGACTATTCTGATCTTCAAAATTTCAATTGTTAAATTAGTTCCTTTATTTATAAATGAGCCTCGTTGTTTCTCCAACAAAACATAATGGATCACTTAAGATTCCATGGCCAAAAATAAATGCATAATTTTTCCTTAATATACAAGAAATATAAAGAAAATATAGTGTGAATTAGATAGTTTTCATATAATTTACAGACAGTATCTTTTTTCTGCCACACTGGATAGCAAGCACATTTCAGTGTTACCAACTCGTAACCTTCTTTACAGTTTAGTGGTATCGCTGGATAGTTGTCAATCATTGGGACATTCATTTGGTTCTGCAGATGTCACATTTGAGGAAGGTCAGTTAAAAGAAAGACATCAATATGTTAACTTATAAAAAGATTCTACATTTAAATAAACTTGAATAAGATAAATTGTTCTAGATTAAAAAGTCATTAGCTTTAAAAAATTTTATGATGGCTAAAAAAAATTCAAAATGAAAGAGAGAAATTGAATTAGTGTGAACAATATTATTTGTTTTTAATAAGAAACATCAATGGCTTCAAAAAATATAAAGCTGGTAAAAATGAGTAAGACTGTCATGAATGATAGTAAATAGCATATATGGCAGTACTTTTACTTTCGTTACTTGTGCCGCCGGTACAAATAAAAAGTACGTACTTTTACTTGTACTTCGTAACTTTTTAATTTTAGTACTTTTACTTGTACTTCGTTACTTTTTAAATTTAGTACTTTTACTTGTACTTTCGTTACTTTTTTAGGGAAAAAGTACAAGTATTTGCAACGGAAATGTCGAATGAAGTCGTTACTTTTTTCTAAAACTCGGTAAGCTTTCTAAAAAAAAAATATTAAAAAAAATGCTTATGTTTTTTTTAATTTATTGATTAATTAACGGATTTTTTTTAATTAATGGAAAGCATACCAATTTTGAATCGATATCCAGTCGTAAGAAAATTATATGGGCAATATAATACTGCAGTACCTTCTAGTGCTCCCGTGGAGCGCTTATTCAGTGTGGCTAAGCACGTTCTTTGAAATTCTCGCAGCAGACTCAGTGACACCACTTTCGAAATGCAATTCTTTTGCAAAATGAATAAAAATATTAATTAGCAAGTTATTTTCACTCATTTTCGATTTTTATGCATTTAATTAATGCATTTTAAATAAAAAATGTTGGATTTTGTTATTACGTTTTTCAATTTTCTTTTTGAACTCACTAATAATACATTTTTGTCTTAATACATTTTTGTCTTAATACATTTTTGTCTTAATACATTTTTGTCTTAATACATTTTTTACTAAACACATTTTCACCTAGTATATTTTTTACTAAAATTATGTTTATGCCCGACCTTGTCAAACAACGCCCAGTCAAATCTCTAAGAGCTTCGGAACTATTTGTGCTATTGAAAACTATTATAATTACTATTTTAACTCTTGAAAACTCGAAGGTATTAATTTAGCCGCAGATACTAAAATTCGTTTACAAATTTTAATTATTCCGTTAGGCAGAAATGTTTGGAAAATGATTTTCTTGCATGACTTCATTAGCCATTGTCATAAATAAAACTGTAGACTGTTCTGTTTCAACTTATACTGCACATTCAATTATTTTTTACTAGCTCAAAGATCACAAAGTTATCTGAAACCCCGTGTTTGCTTTGTTTATGCTTTCAAAACGCACTTCTATAAAGTAAAACAATTTTAAATTTTAATTTAATTTTAAATTACAATTAAAAAGAAATTTAAATAAATAAAAATAATAAACTAAAAATTACAATCAATAGATAAAATCTTTTTCGTGCAAATCCATAAAAAGTTTGATATTGAAATTATATTATACGATTATATTATAAAATCATATTATAATATTTTTCCGAATTTAAAAATAAATTAATGTCCATAATTTACAGAATTAAAAATAATTAAATAATTAGCAACAATTTTTCAAAAACATTAAGGAACATAAGAATATTATTCAATAAAATTTTAGGTTACTTTGAATTTTCGATTTCCAAGAAATGTACTTTTAAATCGTTACTTTTTTTGTTTAGTACTTGTACTTTTAGTTGCACTTTTTACTCGTTACATTTTTTAAAAATACTTGTACTTTTACTCGTTACTTTTTAAAAGTAACGTTGCCATATATGGTTAATAGTAGTTTAAAACTGTATTTTCACGCTCTATTGATGCTACTTTATTACTCTAGGTACATTTCGTTCAATGGCTCTCATTTATATGAGCTGAATTCCGCCTGAGAGCAGTGATCTTAAGAATATTAATTATTTGTTGACAATTATTAACAAAGTTAAAAAATCTGATTTAAAAATTAACTTCCTCTGAATAATCATGCCAAATGATAAAAATATCGTTTTCAAATGAGACGGGAACACTATTTAATAACAAGATCAGGAAAAGTAAATGAATGTATTTTTTATTTAAGGTTTATTTTGCGTAGCACATAAAAAGGTAGTATAAAATGCTTCGGAATGTTAGGAGTCATGTTTTGATAAGTCAATAAACATTCAACTTCCAAGATCTACTCCCGTGTGTTACTTCAAATGCATGCTATCTAAAGTGATTTGAAACAAAAAAATTTAAGTTGTCAATAAAAATATAAAATCAAGGAGAAAAAAGAAATATAAAACCCGCAGTAGCCGACATGGAAGCAAAAAAATAAATCTGAAAAAATAATAATGAAAAATAACAAAACTGGAAAAACTTTTGGCCAAGTGTGGTAAATACAGGCAAAATGAATGTTCACGCGCTAAGGAGAGCTGTAGAGGAACTCTTGTCATTAACAGGGGAATCGTCATTCGCATGAATGAAACAAGATTCCACAGTGTCAAGAAGAGCTGGTGCGACAAAAGTAAAAATAGATTTGGCATTATAGCGCAATACTATTTTTTATCCCATTCATATTTTTGAAGTCAACAAAGTTTTCAATCAATCAAATAATTATTTGTAAATGACTTTTTTGTTTCAAAAATTATCTCAGAGTGCAACAAACAGTCTATATCTCTTAAAACACAATGCAAAGTATTAATTAATTAAAAACCTAGTAGCGCATAATGAGAAAAATTACTTTTTTCCGGTACACACTTGTCGCAACAACCACACTCAGACCTTGCAGGCACGTAACCTGCAATGCAGTCAACTATTTTACATTCTTCTCCGTTACAATCGATCTCTTCGCAAACTTCTGGACCAGGGGATGCTATTTGAAAATATAGTTTAAAGATAATATTTACATGTGGCAATGCATTTGATGATCTAAGAACATGGCAATAGATAAAAGATATCACTTCTCACCAATAATTCTCAAACAGTTAGATAAAATAAAGAGATAATATAAACTATAGATAATATTAGTTAGATAATTAGTAATAAAATTAAAAAATCATGAAGTTATAAAGTTAGTTATAATATAAATTATAAAATTAAAAAAAAAAGCTCACGAATTGTTTTTACGATCAATATTAAACAGCAAATCATGCATAAAGTATCACCACGCTGAAGAGAAGAAAGTGAATCAGAGCAAGCAAGATCTCTATGATTCACATTATGCACAATAGAGAGAGAGAAAATTTACCATAAGATTAATGCACAGCAGTTCGGCTTGAAAAACTGAACTCTCGTCTCTTATTCGATGCTGGAGAATAAACTTTTTCACGCCGTCTTCATAAATAACACAGGCAAGTTCAACTTTCCAATTTAATTTACTTCCATCTTGTAACAAATAATATTGTATTCAATAAGGATTTCCCTGGAATAAGACACAAGCGTGATAGGCATGAAGGATGTGGAAAAAAAAGCTTGTAGCTTCCTATCAAGGGTGTCACGACAGTTACTCAAATAGTTTTCTCCAACTTTAAGATTATTCACAATAGCTAAATCAATAGGTGGCAGACCAGAAATAACAAATACTGCTTCATAACTTTAAGTCCTGTATCCTTTAATGACCCGAAGCAGAAATCTCCGTTGAGTTCTCCTAAGAAGCCTGCAATTAATTTTCTTCCTTAAGGGATGCCCCCAAGATCTGGAAGCATAAGATATAAGAGGAACGATTGCCTGTTTATAGATCAGTCCAAGAACATTATATTTCACTCCAGAAGTATTACTTGAAATTCATTCGTTTTCAGAGGATTAAACTCCAGCTTATAAAGTTTTGTCCGATTAAAAATATACTCAAAAATAGTTTGTGATAAAATACAAGTTTCGTGAAAATTATTACACTAGATAATAGGCTATAAATCATCTGCAAAAGCTATCTTATAACACTTCTGGAACTTTGAAACATTACTAAGAAGGTCATTCATCATAATATTCCACACAAAAGGCCCCATTACTGACCCTTGAGGGCAGCCCTTTTCCAAAACAATTTTCGTGACATTACCCAAACTAAGATCAGCTGATCGGCATCGCAAGAAGCTCTTAATCAGGTTAAATATGTTTTTAGGTACTTTTAAGCTTCCGAGCAAATGTAAGATGCTAGGCCACCATGCATTGTCAAAAGCACCCTTAATATCCAAAGAAACAAGAAAAGTGACAAGGATTTTTGCGTTTACTCTTCTCAACAATATCACAAAGGCGAGACAAGGCGTCTTCGGCTGACCTTTGAGGTGTGAATCCGAACTGATCGTCACTTAAAAGGCAAGACGTATTCAAGAAATGGTTAAGTCTAGTAATACAAAGTTTTTCTAAGCATTTTCCCAAACAAGGGAGCAAGCTAATGCAACGAATATTTTCGATATGCGCCCTTGACAATTCACTGTTTTTGGGAATGAGTACAATTTTGGCTGTCTTCCAAATCTTTGGAAAAACTCCAAATTTTAAACAGTTATTGAAAATAGTCAAGAGAACAGAAAGGCAGCATTCACGAAACTTTTGAATCAGTTCATTAGAAATTCTGCCGATGCCGGGTAACTTATTTAAGCTCAAATTGTCAATAACACAGTCAATTTCTGTTCTTGAAAAAGGGACATCATCATCATTATCATAAACAAGTTCAACTTCTGAACCTAAAACCCCATGATTTAAGTTATCATTACTTTTGGAATCAGGAGGGAAAGACTTATTTAAGATAACATCAATAGTGCTTTCAAAAGACGAAGCAAAGCGCCCAGAGGAAGTTTCCATTCCTGAAATTTCAAGTCTTTTAGCAAAATTTCTTTTACCTCCATGGGTATAAATTTTCTTCCCAACATTCTGCACAGTAATATCAGCAAGAAAGTTTTTCCAAGAATTTAATTTACTTTCCTCAAGTTTCGAATTATAATTCGCTCTAATTTGAATATACTTCTATTTGTAGATCTCCCTTAGAGTGGGATTATTCGTTCTCTGGTAGTGTCTTCTAGCAGCATTCAACTGCTTTAGCATACGGAAAATTTCTACCGTCAACCAGGGGACTTTGTACAGACCACTCATTTTTAAGAAAATTGATTTCTCAGCGGTAGAGATAATTAAATTTTGCCCATCTTGAGCACAACATTCCAGATCATCAGGTTGAGTACTGTTGTCCAGAGACTCTAGAATAGATTTTCGGCATTAGTGCAATGGGAATGCAAAATCTTCCAATTCGCCTTCTTAATATTAAATAGCTTTGCATTTGCAGAACATTTTTTTACCTGCCTGTCTTAGGTATTCCCAGTTCAAAAGAAATCCTCCTATGATCAGAAAGGGAATCGCACTCTGGTATAAACCAATTCTCAATAAGTCCAAATACTTCCTGTCCAACAACAGTGATATCAATGTTGCTCGAACCCTGTGTCGCGCAAAAGGTTGGCTTCATTTATCGCAAACAGCTGCCACGTACTGAAAAATTCGCTTAGCTTGATACCTCTGGAGTCCGTCACAGGACTGAACCAAACTTCAGACTTACTGTTAGCATCCATTCTCCAAATAAGTATCTTTAAAACTAGTCGCATCCAGAAAGATTTCCTCTAAAACAATATGGTTCTTGAATAAGAGTCACATCAACATTATCACATTCAAGATTTAGTATAAGCTGCTGAGTAACTTTCTTTGACTTATGTAAATTCAGTTGCACAAATTTCAGTCAATTATTGGTAACTTTAGTCATAGCCGATTCGAGCAGCTGTTTGATCTCTCGCAAAATTATGGCACGAGCAGCTAATCAAAAAAGGCTTATGTTTTACATCCACTTTTTTAGCTTCATTTTTAATTCTCTTATTATATCTGATGCAAATTGTCACATACCTGAACTTCTTGATTGGGGCAATTAACACTCCTATGTTCCCCGGAGCAAAGAAAAGCAAGATAATTTATTTGTACAATCCAGAGATCTGTGATTATGACATGAGAAACATCTATTTATAACAATGAAATCTTCAGCATGGGATAAATTCCAGATTATTTTCAAAGATCCAAAATCAATAACTTATTTCCGAATTTTAGGATGAAGCTCGATTTCCAAGTTTCTCACATACTGAAATTGCTTCAGAACAAAACAAACTTTTGACTCGTTCCAACTCACCCAAAACAACAATTTCTGGATTTTGCTCTCGAATAACATCCTGTAAATCTGAATCGGTGACGTCACTTGGCACATTTCTAATTATCATTGAAGGATATTTACGCTTAGGAATAGAGGGCTTCAAAAATCTGAATTGGCATCAATATTGGTCATAAATTTCTTCCTATCTTCTTCAGAAGCACATTTAACTAAAATCCTATTTCCACTAACTCCTTTCACAGAACGAATATCTAATTTCTCTTTTCTTGGATTAATTTGAGTCTTGCATAACTTTCTGACTTCATCAGAACTGCAGTTTTCAGCTGATATTAAAACAGGGCAGCAAGTACTCTTCCGTAACTGTTCTATTTAGGAACCAACACAATATGGCACCACTACATCACTATACGATCTCTTCGGTAATGAAATAGCGTCTTTCGAAGTTTCTTCACATGCTTCGATATATTTTTCAGACTTAATTCGTGAAAAATTATTATATATAGAAGATTTTAAGTCACTCAGAGCATGTCTGGTCTCCTCCCTCGTCTGTTGATTCATATTTCACTTTAAAAGAGGAGCTAATTCGATTATTTTACACTGTTTCTCAAAAGCAACTAAAAATGCGTCATCATCACTATCCGCCATGTTGGACACCTGACCAAACTATTGGGACCACATTTTCCAGATTGCGGCTTCCCTCAATATTTTTGGAGTCTGAAATCGGAATTCGTCGAAAAAAATGTATGTGTATTTAAGGAAAGTGGGGGTTTTGTGTCTGATTCCGTTACTTTAAATAGCTTAAAATATCTTTCATTTATTAATTAGCATATTTGAGGCTACCCTCTCGAGCCAATAAAGTTTAGTCCTTGAACATGAAAATTTGATCGTTAGGGAACAAAAGCTATTCAGGATGGTCAATTTTTTGGCACACTCTGCACCAAGAAACATTTGCGTTTTTCTAAACTATAATTTATTTAATTATAGTTTTTGTGTAGAATTTAAAAAGAAGATTTCAAAAAAGCAAGAATTCAGAAAACAAGCAATGGAAACATGACAGTGAGAAACAATATATCAAAACAAAAGCAAAAAAAATAAGACAAATAAAAAGGTTATGAAAAATACTCAACTGAACTACAAAACACAAATTATAAAGATCATATAGAGGAAAATAGTAACAATTACTTTATAGTTTTTGCACTCATTACAACATTTCTAAGGAGTTCTTGCAGATGTGTACCACGAAGAAAATTTTATCAATGTGCAAAGAACTGCTTTACAGTTAACATCACAGGGTTGATTTAATAATTAAGAAAAGTACGAAAATAAAACTAGATAAAGTATTAAAACAAGAATATAATAGGGGAGAGTTTAATTAATAATTAATAATAATAGTAATAATTAATCAAACAAATTGATGAACAGTGAATTGATGTTTAATTTTCGTAGTGGTAGTTACTCCACAATACTCCCCCACCAGAATTTTATCAGGGATAGAATTCGATGAACTGATACCACTAGTTGGTGCATTTGTGAAAGACCGGGAAAACTGTAATTAAGGTCACCGGGTTTCTGAGTGCTGAATGTGAGAGGTGTATTAACTTCACAGTCGTAGTCGCTCCTGTGTTCCATTAGCAGTCGAGTGTATACAGACAGACGTTGTGTTTAATCGAGACGAGACTGAGTAGCAACAGCGTGAGGAGGTTGATTATGTCGCAGTCGCAAGTAGCAAGTCAACTGTTAAATGTGGATCATCCAGCGAAGTAGGCGTTACAGACACGAAAAGGGGGTTACTGCGTCTTCAAATCACGTCCTGGTCACCAATGTGGGGGCGGAGTTGTCGATCATGACAACCTTCATCTATCAAAAGGTACCTCGTGATTGAATTAAGCTAGCACGTCTTATATACCAGTGAATTGATGTTTAATTTTCGTAGTGGTAGTTACGCCACAGACTCAATCTTATTGGTGCAAGGAGGTGACTTCAAATATGCTAATTAATTAATTCCGACGATTTTTTTAAGCTATGCAATCAGACACAAAAACGTAGTTTCCCAGAATAAACAAATTTTTTATGATGGATTCGGATTTCTAGCCCCCAATACGTAGGGAAGAGTGTAAGGTCTCATTAGTTTGGTCAAGAGAGAGATTTGGTTAGGACCCCTTAATGTAAATTTTATTTATTGTCTATTTCGTCATATCTTGCGTATTTTAAGCAAATGGAAATGTTGCTGCACGCAATTACAAAAATTTGTTTACCCAAAGACAATTGATACAAAAAAATAATTTTTAGTAAATATTTTATTTGAAGTCCAAAAGACTATTCGATCAATTGTGCTCAAATTTAGTATTTTGCCACTTAAAATTGCATTCTTTAACAATAATGTAAAAGTTTGCATACCTTACAAGTCAAATTTGTTTTGGACTAATACCAAGTAAAATAACAAAAATTTATTTTTTAATGTTATTTATAATTTTTTTTTTGCATGGAATCTTTGGATAAACGAATTTCATAATTGAGTGCAATAATTTTTTATTCCACTTAAAAATTTCTCGAAATATGGCAAAATACACAAAAAAAAATATTTATTAATTTGTCCAAATGTTGGACCGCTCTCTTGACTGAACTATTAGGACCATATTTCTCATATTGCAGCTTCCACTTATTCTTCGGGTGTCAAAAATTTTAATCCGTCAAAAAAATGTGTTTATTTAGAGAAAGTACTATTACGCATCTGATTTCGTAACTTAAAATATTGTCTACACTAATTAATTATCATATTTCCACCCCTTCGATTGATTAAGATTGAGTCCTAGAACGTAAAGATTCGATTATTAGATAAAAAGTTACTCAAGTGGCCCCTTTTTTGCGAACTGTACATAAAAAAGTAGTACTGCTATTTACTTATAATTTTCCTGCATTTATTACAGCATTCACAAGGAGGTGTGTACGATTCATAACCTGAATCACATTCAACATATGCGCAACTTACAGTACTACAATTAACATTACAGGAAGGGCCTGGAAAATAATAAAACAATAAGGAAAATAATAGAAAGAGAATATAAAAAATAATAATTCAAAAATTAATGAAACAGGAATATTAGAAAGTAAATAAAACAAAAATCTATTCTTGAATACAAAAAAAAAATTTGTTGCAAATTACTTTCAATTTTTCTGCACTCATTACAGCATTCACAAGGAGGTTTATATGATTCATAACCTGTAGCACATTTTATCTGCGGGCACTGATCAGTGCTACAGTCAACTTTACAGTCTGATCCTACAGTTAGAGCACAAATGAAGAGTAGGGTTAATATTGTTGCATTACAGTAACATTTTCACGTATATCATAGACCAAATAAATTATCTCAAAACCAATACACAGAAAGTATAAGCTGTTTTCCAAATCATTATCATATGGAAACAGGGCATACTTTAGTTAACATCCTTGTATATATTTAATGATTCTAAGAATATATTTATGGTACTCCTTCATAATATTTAATATAACAAAATTGACAAGTCAGTATTCTAATTTTAACATTTTACATGTTTTTAAAAAAAGTGATTGTGTTAATTTGAGTGCAATGATTTAAATATTGTTTGGTAATAATCTGATAATAAATTATTTAAATTAAATTATGTAATAAAAAATTGAAGAAAAACTCGTTTTTTTTAGAATTTTTGATATTTATGCATTGTCTAGCATAAAAGGAAATCGTTTCAAATATTTTTATATTCATAATCTTGTGACATCTGTATGTCCTAGATCTAGCAAACTGATAATGCACTGTTCGAAATTTCTCATAAAAAAATAGTTAAATAACAATTTATTTAACTGTTGTTTCTCCACATTTAAGTAAAACAGTCAAATAGCCATATATAAGATGGTATTCAAACTGTTATTTGGGAGAAAACCCGTTTATTAACTGCTTTCACTTATTAAGGTTATATATAAGATGTATAAGATTTGCTTAAATGAAAAGCGGATATGTGTAACAGTTCCAGAAATACAGTAGAGATAACAATGTCACCATTTACTGTTATAAAGAAAAATAGACCAAAGAAAAAAAAGGACGAAACTTACAGAATATGATAAAATTTACCGTGTTTCCGTCTCTATGGGAACACCAAAACGCTCAGTTATTTCTGTCAAAGTGCTTGATAATGATTTTAATAAAATAAACTATTAGATTTGGTCTTATAATCTGTGACGAAATTTATTAAATGTTGTAAAATTTGGTAATTTTTTGATGATAACTCAGGGCATGGCATAAAAAGTATTTATTATGCTAAATTTATTTTAAAATTTCGCATTTTTACTCTATGTGTGGTAATAAGAAATGTAATTTTAAAAAAATAGAATTTCCGGTATAACGTTGTCACCATATGAATGGATAACTTACCAAATGGATGGATAAATAACCAAATGAATGGTTAAAATAATTCATATTTTAGTTTCCTTAACCAGAATTGTTTACCATACAGTAGAGCAATTTTGCTAGAATTTTTTTCTCCTCGAAGAGAATCTTAAGCGAATATGAAATCGATAAAATGGCTGCATCCAATACCTATCAAAGTAATGCAGTACGATGTTCGGTGACAAGAAGTGGCGGTACAGTTACTTTACTTGGATAGGGTGTGAAATGATAACAGAAGTCACAATACTTCGATTAACTCTAATTTTTAAACAGCAGTAGATGTAGATTCATGTGAAATCATGGTGTTTGCTTGATCTGATTTGAACTCGTCAATGATAGCTGGTGCTGACAAAATAACATCGTTATTGTTGATCTCGCAATCAACACCAGTAGTTTTGAAAATAAATATCGAAAATTGATATTTTATATCCTTAGAAATAATTCGATTTCAGCCTTTAGTACTGGCACTTAGGGTGCTTTTACCATAAAATCTTTTTTACTGGAACATGTTAAGGAACAAAAAATCTGATGTACCTTAATTTTTTCGGTAACATATAGAAAGTATATGTAGATAGTTTATGGAAAATTTTACAGCGGCCTACGCCTATAGGCCCATTCGCCAATTACAGTGGAACAACTATTTTTAATTTGACAGCAAGTATATAGAAATAAAATGTTAGAAATTTTACAGTAACAACGATGGCAACAAGCCTCGAAAGCATTGAATTACATCAGTAAGAAGGTCAACGGACCCTTATAATTTAGCATATCGTTCAAAAATTTTTCATAAAAATAAACTAAAACATTTTTGGTCGTGTTTGGTGTTGTTGCGTTCAGGCCAACAGACCCTTATAGTAACATAATATATCTAACATCACGAACCCATTTTTACTTTCTAGGTACTACACTTGAATAAAGGTATCAATAGGATCGAATTGAGAGCTAGAGCTAGTTGCTGGGCAAAAGAAAATAGTTAAGAATTACACACAAGGTAAAAGTACACATTAGTACAATCTTGTCCAAAAGGATATAAAATTTGTAAAAAGGAAAATTGTAAAAACATTGCAATTTTAAAACATTATGTTTAAAAAAAGAAATCGACTGTACAAAGCCATTTACATGCATAATATTTCAAGGTATAAAATTATTTGTGGATAAAAGATAGGATAAAGATGTAAAAAGACAAAATTGATAAAATAACAAGTACAGATTAAATATACCCTAAGATTAAAATCATTAAAATATATTTGTCCAAAAGGGACGTAAATGTTATAAAATTCAGTTAAAGTTTAAAAATGTTTGCAAATCAATATTTAAAAGCGTGTTTTGACGAATACCAAAAAAAGTGATATACAAAATCAAAGATAAAAGCTAACTGTGTATAAAAATTAAAAAGAAAATCATTAAAAGTTAAATAATTAACAGTTAAAATCAATATCAGACTAGTGTAAAACAACTAGCCGAGCAACATTTAAAAAGTGTTGAGTAAAATGTAAAGCGATGTTTAAATGTATGAAGATAGTTTATAGAAAGTTACATTACCTTTATTGGGCAAGCATACATTGCAGCAGTCGCACGTTCCGGGTTTATGCTGCGGCGATTCGTTTGGTCCGCAATCCAGAACAGGGCACGAATCTAGTATCTCAGGTGTGCACACAAAATCGCAAACAAAAGGAACTTGTGCCATCGCCACGTTCAAGAACAACGCCAATATAATGAATCTATTCATTTCTTCGTTTATAGTGAGCTATAAAATATAAAAATGAATTAATATTTGAATACGTAATGCATTATTAAGTTTAAAAACATTTTGTCTACAATGCCTTGGCAAATATAGAGACATTTTTAAAGCAAGAAATGTGTACCTTAACTTTAAATATAATGGCTTACAAACAAATGTCTGAGAGGAATAGTCTCAACTTTTATTTTCAATATTTTTTTTTTACACAGATATGGTAAAATGCATTAAATAGGAGAGTTTTTATCTTCTGCGAATTAAAAATTTTCTTTCGAAATGATTGTTAATGATTTAAAGAAAAATTTGAGCTCTTGAGGCAAAAGGTACCAAAAAATTGTGAAAATTCGCAGAAAAATCAAAAAATTTAGAAAATATTATTCCAAGTGTTTTTAGAAACGCAAACTAATTGCTTTGTTCGCTTTTGTCAACCAACTTCTCACATTACTTTGTTAAAGTAGTATTTTCTCTAATGGGGACGCACCTAGTTGGCTCATTGGTCACGGCATTTATTTTTTTATCATTTGGATCTAAATGCAATCCTGCTAATAAATATTATTTCCCAAATTTACAAGTTAATAATCCCCAGTAAGTAAAATTTTAATGTATTTTTAAAATTGCATCCACAAATTCGGTCATTTTGAATTTCATGGATGATATTCTAATTATTTCAGAATAAATAACTGTAAGATGTCATTTGGTAAAACTAAATCAACACATCAAGCAACCATCTGCTTTATCAAGCTTATTTTCAAGATATTTTGTATGTTTACTACTTTATACATTCCGATATATGTGCTTTAACTATCTGAAAGAAAATAATAAATGTAAAATTAAGATAAGTATTTTTTTAATGAAAAACGTTCCTGACTACAATTAGGATTTTTTTCTGTACCTAAATAAATTTTATTTCAAGTTCAAATTTACATCGGTGAAAAAAATTCAGTTCATTTAAAAGTGAATAAAAATATTTGTGTTTAAAATTTTAATGAAAATATTTAAACATAGAAGCATCGAAATTTTATCGTTGTGTTATTTGAGCACTATTCAGTGTAATTGTAGTAAGTTTAAAACGAGTATATTTCAGTACTTCACCAACATTGGAAGTTAATAGTCACGGTTTTGCTTTTCGTATTTACGTTTTAGCTACGTATATCATAGCCCAAATAAATTATCTCAAAACCAATATACAGAAAATATAAGCTGTTATCATATAGGAACAGGCCGTAATTTAGTTAACATTCATGTATATATTTAATGTTTCTAAAACTATATTTATGGTAAACCTTCATAATATTTAATATATCAAAATCGACAAGCCAGTATTCTAATTTTGCCATTTTATAAGTTTTTAAAAGAAGTCATTGTGCTAATTTGAGTGTGATGATTTAAATATTTCTTGGTAATAATCTGATAATAAATTATTTAAATTATATTATGTATTAGAAAATTAAGGAAGAACTCGTTTTTTTTTAGAATTTTTGATATTTATGCATTGTTTAGCGTAAAAAAAATCGTTTCAAATATTTTTATAATCATAATCTTGTGATATCTGTACGTCCTAGATCTAGCAAACTATTAATACACTGTTTGAAATATTTCAGAAAAAAATAGTTAAATAACAATTTATTTTACTATTGTTTCCCCATATTCAAGCAAAACAGTCATATAGCCATATATAAGATAGTATTCAAACTGTTATTTGGGAGAAAACCCGTTTATTAATTGCTTTCACTTATTAATGTTAAGTGACCAGGGTTTTATTGCGTCAACTAGTTCAACCTAAAGGTCTGGTTTCTTAGGACAAGCGCCTTATCTGGGCGTCAGCGGGACGTCAACGTCCTGCTGACGTCAACAAAATACTGGTTTGTTAGCTCAAGGCCTGGTTTCTTAGAACTAGCGCCTTATCTGAGCGTCAGCGGAAAGTTGACGTAGAGCTGATGCCAAATTTTGTTAGCTCAGCGTGAGCAGTCGGT